TCTGGGCATTTGGCAGGATATTAATAGCTGACATTGTGAGAAGATTCACAACCCTGTGAGGAAACCAAAGTTCAGAAATACTAAAGGCACTCAGCAGTTAAGAAACAGGGCCAGGATTTGAAACAGGACAACCTTTCCCATCATGCTTTGCCCTGGCCACCCACTGCCAGATAGAGCTAATTGCTAAAGGTAGCTAGGCCTTACGTTCAGTTTAGCAGGTATATGCTTAGTTAGAAGGACTCTGACACAAAGAAGGAATTCTCTACTCGTGAATGTGGTTTCTGCAGGCCCAGAGGTGAAGGCATAGGGTGCAGGACAAGGGTGGATCCATGAAATCCACCACATATGTCAGGGATGGAGGGAGAGGAAAGTTAGTTACCTTTAAATATAAGAGACAGAAGAAGCTGGGGGGATTATAAAGTTCCCCTGGGAGCCAGTAGAGTCTTTGCTTTAAAAAAAAAAAGTCAGAAATATGCTGGGAAATATTTTGGCAACAAATTCTTTTGCAAAGCATTTGGAATTGTTGGGCCTGGGCTAAAATGAAATAAATAGCTCTGAAATAAATAAGAAGGATTTCGATTCACTCGGATGATTGGATTCCTTGGGTGAACAATGTCTTGCTGATAATGAAAATCAAGATGGGCTCTGACACTGAACATGCCTTTACTATAAAATGCTTTGATGCAAGCAGTATGCTACAGATATCCCTTTGCCAAGTTCATGTACATTCAGGAGGTGTGGCTTGTATGCAAAAACAGAGCAGTATGATAATGCACTGCTTGTTATTTCTGACTCTATTTTCCAATGTGGTCTTCCATTTGGAGCAAGGACACTGTAGCAGGGTCACACATTCATGTTTAACTGGGCATTTGGCAGTTAATATTCACACTTTGAAAAGAAGGGGAGATGGGGCACCTGGGTGGCTTAGTTGGTTAAGCATCTGACTCTTGATTTCAGCTCAGGTCATGATCTCACAGTCGTGAGATCAAGCTCCACATCCAGCTCTGTGCTTGATGTAAGGCCTGCTTAAGATTCTCTCTCTCTCCCTTTCCCTCTGCTCCTCCCCTGCTCTCTCTCTTTTTCTCTCTCAAAATAAAGGGGGGGGGGGAACGGAAAGAGAAAAGATTAACATTGTAAATAATACAGATGATCCTATCTTCTATCTCATTCACTGAGCCCAGGTATAGCAGTAAACATTACAGAGGAGATGTTTCTGCAGATATATTTATATGTATATCCATCACTATGCAGGTCTGTGCACACAAACGAGGCAAAAAGGCATACTGTATTTTATGTGTGATCTGAAAGATATTCATGAATAATGTAGACTCTCTATGATTATCACTTAGGCAGGGACTTTAGAATATATGCTTTAGGGGTGCCTGGGTGGCTTAGTCGGTTAAGCGTCCGACTTTCGTTTAGGTCATGATCTCGCGGTTTGTGGGTTCGAGCCCCACATCGGGCTCTGTGCTGACTGCCAGCTCAGAGCCTGGAGCCTGTTTCAGAGTCTGTAACTCCCTCTCTCTCTGACCCTCCCCTGCTTACGCTGTCTCTCTCTCTCCTAGAAATAAATAAAACATTAAAAAAAAATAGAATATATGCTTTAAACAAGGCGAGACTTCACTGTACTGTTTTAGAAGAGGAAGATCTTTTAAGCTATGTTTTTCTAATAAGAAAAAAACTTGATTTGATCTATCCCCACGCCCTCAGGAGTCCGTCTATAATTAGAAACATTTCTCTGGGATTCAGAGTTCAGTGTTGATCAGGAGACAAAGCGAGGTGACTAAATGAGCATATTCATCTGATTGATGCAATTTTCCGTACAGTTTAACCTGATATAAAATGGAATGAAAAGTAAGCAAGGCTATGAAGCCAAGAGTCCCCTTGTACATAACTAACATTTCTAAGTACCTGCTGTCAACAGTGCAACAGGTTAGAAGCCGTAGGGAACTAAACCCTCATGTTTTTATAAATCTTGCCTTTTATAAAATCTTATAAAAGAGAAAGATAAATACACACTGAATTATAATACAGGGGAGACTGTGAACAGTACTATAGTAAATATGATCAGGTAAAATTGTGAACTGAAGTATAATGTTAAAATATAATTACCTGTTAATTATTTCTTAATAGATTGAACTTTGAAAGCTCTTACAAAAGTCTTGGTCTTTAATTGTTCTCATTAGATTAATATTTAATTCTGCTTAGATTCTATGTAATAGCTACCAGCTTTGGCCTATTCAAAAATAATTACCCTTTCCTCCTACCCAAATAGAGAGGATCTGCTTCTCCCACCCCTGCCCTAAACCCTCACTTTTCCAATTCTGTGGCCTAATCCTGCCCAATGAGAAACAAGCAGAAGTCTGTGCAAATTCTAGAAAAGCTTTGCTTTCTTCCTTAAAAGAGATATATGTCAAAGTTCTAGACCCCAATGTAACTATATTTGGAGATAAGGACTTTAAGGAGGTAATTAAGGTTAATTGAGGTCATAGGGCTGGGGCCATAACCCATAGGACTGAAATCCTCGTAAGAAGAGGAAGAGACACCAGGAATGTGTGCACAGAGGAAAGGCCATGTGAAGACAGAGGGAGAAGATGGCCAAGTGCAGACCAAGAGGAGAGGTCTCACCAGAAGCCAAGTCTGCCATCACCTTGTTCTTGGACTTCTAGCCTTCAGACGTGTGAGAACATAATTTCTGTTGTTTAAGCACCCAGTCTGTGGTATTCTGTATGGCAGCCCAAGCAGATGACATGGGTGCCAAGGGCAATGAAGTTCAGGATACGTATGAGATGAACTGTAATCTCACCATCTCTTTCTTTTGGAGTCACCCACCTTGTTCATACGTCTATGTTCATCTACTTGATACTTTTGCTTTAATCAGTTTTGGGGTGGAGTCCTTGACCAAGTTAGAAGTTTTTGCCTGCAATTTAGAAGAGAGGGGGTCTTCTCCACAGGAAAGGGGTGGAAAGTTTCCAAGCAGCTTTGATTTCCAAAGGGAGAAAAGGGGAACGGAATTTCAGCAGGAGGAAGAGACTCAGAAGTTGGAACAGGAAGGGCAAGCACCTTTGTTTGTTCCATTAATATTTATTTTGAGCAGGTATGATATGCCAGGCTGTATTGAAGGCGTGAGGGATGCAGTGAGTAAAACAGACCTGGCCTCTGCCCCTAGGAGCATGTTGGGAAATTGTTCAAAGCACAGAAAATGTGGAGGAAGTAATGGGAAGTAAAGCTTGAAGAGTAGGATGGAAACAGATTATGGGGAGTCTTGAATCCTGCCTAGGAATTTGTTCTTTACCCAGTAGGCAGATGGGGAGCCACTCCAGATGACTGGATGGGAGAGTGCCCTGGTCATAGTTTTCTTTTAGGAGTATGAATCTGGAGGGTGTGTTTTGTTCAGTTGGAACAAGAAGAGATTAGAGGCTAGAGAGACAGTTAAGGAAAAAGTACTCATGCTCAGACAAGATGTAGTGGGAGCCTGAACCAAGGTAATTTGAAAATTATACCATATTTGCTGAGACCACCATACACTAATATCAACAGAAAACCTCAAGATATTTTCTCAGACTTACAGAAATACTACCATGTGTTAGCCTTTGAAAAGTTCCCCAAGTACCAAGTTCAGTCTTCTAAGATCCGAGAAAACAAAGCAGAGACTGTTTGGGCAAGACTAACACTGACATAAACTGGGCAGCTGGGAAAGGGTGGCCCCGTTGCCCAAAGTACTTTAGAGCAATAAAGCTCTCAACGTGTCAGGTTCAGGAGCCAAAGAGTCTCCCGAATTGTAATTATTTTCAGCAAATTATGATCAAGCAGAAGGAATTATGGAGTTTACGTTAGGAGAATGCAGTTTGAATCTCTCTTGTGGGACCCTCTAGCTGCAGACAGGGTAGCCAGGGGCCACTGACAGATGGGCCACTCCTGCTCCTCCATCTTCCCTGAAGCAAGGAGGAGCTACTCTCTTGGCTGGGCAGCACCCTTTCTTCCAGAGTTCACCATTTAGACGTTTGCTCAAACATCAAATATTGAGCCCATGGCTTCCGTGCTCTTGGCTGTGGAAAATAAACGGAACAAAACTCAAGATCCTGCTTCTCATGAGACCTAACCTGGCCACGAACGGAGACAGAACATTTCATGACAAACCATGAAATAAATATGCTGGCTGGGCCATAAGGACATCACCTAAGGTGGACTGATAGAGCTCCGCCCCCACTAGATATAAAAACACTCCCAGGCCAGGATCATGCTGTAATCTTAGGGATGACCCCTCCACCTCCCAGTCCCAGAACAGGCCTGACCAGTGCTCTACTAATGGATTTGAACCTTGCTAGCTATGCTGTAAATGAATGCTCCAACAGCAACCAAAGGAGACTGATGATAGCCCCAAGAATTGAAGAGAGCCCCCAATTGTCCTTCTGGCATGGCCTTTTTTCAAACCAGGAGGTTGAGGAAATGCCAACTCTTTATATATAATGAAGAAATCTCTAGGGCATGTCGAATTTTTTTCCATTTGCTTGGTTTGTTTCTATTTTTGTTTTAAGATGCAGTTGTTAGGACACTTGCCACAGAAATGCAGACTTCTGGGCCTCACCTCAAACCCTCTGAGTCAAAATAACTGGAAGAGAGGCCCAGCAAGCTGCATTTTTAACCGGCTCTGAGGTAATGCTGATGCTACCTTACTGATTTAAAACAAAAAACAAAAACAAACAAACACACCAAAAAGTAAAGTGCACAAGGCCCCTTTTCACTGCAGTTGTAAATGTCTCCACAAATGACTTTTCAGAAAGCTCTTATGTAAACTTCCTTTGCAAAAAACCATAGCCTGGTCACAAGCTGATTTGTTTAGAAAAATGCACTGAAAGAAAGAGCCCTCGTGATGGGAGCGGTCCATCAACAGATCCATTCATCCAGAAACTCTGACACGCATAGACACTGGATGGCTTCAGCAGAAGCGCCTCCCCGTCTGGGGAACTTAAGGAGAGACTTTCTGGAATATTCCCTACCTGTCAAGAGGGCATGGTAGTGGAGACCCCTCTCCTTATCCTCGTGGGAACAGACATCAAATAAGTAGGCTTTAATGGGCCCGTCAATGAAGTCAGCAGCAAAATCAAAGAGAACTACACCTATCATGGTGATGGTTATGGCCCAAATCAGCTTCCTCCTTGGATCAGCAATCAAAGCTAAAAAGGAAATAAACATACATCACCTAAATCTGGGTGTAGGATGATTTGCATTTTTGTTTCCAACAAAATGTCCTGTCGTCAAATTACCTTCCTTTGCTTTCATTTTGCTTTGCTTTTCCAAATAAACATAGCTTCGCCATTTTTTCAGGTTTTAAAAATGATACAAGTGAGTGCCAGAAAGGGTAGATCTATAGAGATAGGAAGTAGATTGAGGCGTTGCTTATGCATGGTGGGCAAGGAGGGAATGCTAATGGTTACTAGGTTTCTTTTGGGGGTGATGAAAATGTGGTGCAATTAGATAGTGGTGATGGGGATATACAAAAAGCACCAAGTTATATCGTAACTCTTTTTAAAAAGTCGTGTGTATAAAAAATTATACACACTTATTGTAAACCATTTCAGTGATGTAGAAAAGCTGGGGGGAACGCTTCGTCTCAGCCCCTACTGATGGTCATCCTTCAGATATCCCTGTATGCACTTGCAGACATACAGAGAAAGGTGTATACCTGTGCTCTAGTGCAGTACTTCTCAAGCTTTAGCATCCTTAATTATCACTTGGACAACTTGTTAACCAGAGGGGTACCTGGGTGGCTCAGTCAGCTAAATGACTGACTTTGGCTCAGGCCATGATCTTGGTCTGTGAGTTCAAGCCCTGCATTGGGCTCTGGGCTGACAGCTCAGAACCTGGAGCCTGCTTTGGATTCTGTGTCTCCCTCTCTCTGTGCCCGTCCCCTGCTCACATTCTGCCTCTCTTTCTCTCTCAGTAATAAACATTAAAAATTTTTTTAATTAAAAAAAAAGAAAAAGCAGATTATCGGGCTCTGTCTCCCATGATTCTCCAGTAGGTCTGAGATGAGGCTGGGCATTTGCATGTCTAACAGCTCCAGAGACCCTGTGCCTTGGGTCTGAGGACTGTGTTTTGAGGAGCACTAATGGGATCGTGTTGAACATGTTAATCTATAACCAACTCTCCTCGTATCTTTGCATTTTACTTAATGGAGAGCAACTGCACAATTTCTAACTGCCAAATAATATTCACTCTGCGGACATGCCAGAATTCATTCACCCTATCTCCTATTAGAGAAAAAAAATGCTCCCTTGCTTTCAGTTTCCCTTAAGAATAATGTGTAACATATGCACATTTTTAAAAAATTACAGTATTAAAAACAAGTGGAAAATAAGCCTATATTCCACCTTTTACATCCAAAGTCCTTTAGTGCTCCTCCCTAAGGGAAACCATACTTACCAGGGTTTTTTGTAAATATTTTGCAGAAATAATCAAATTTGTGTATTTAAGCCCTCTTTTAAATATATACAAATGATGGGCACCTGGGCAGCTCAGTCGGTTAAGTGTCTGACTTCAGCTCAGGTAACAATCTCATGGCTCGTGGGTTCAAGTCCTGCATCAGGCTCTGGGCTGACAGTTCAGAGCCTGGAGCCTGCTTCAGATTCTGTGTCCCTCTTTCCCTGTTCCTTCCCTGCTCACATTCTGTCTCTCTCTCTCCCTCTCTCAAAAAGAAGTAAACATTTAAAAAATAATTTAAAAATACATACAAATGGTAACTGATTATCCTGCCTCATTATAATCCATTCTGCTAGCCGGAGAGTTAATGGTCAAAAATGAGTATTATTTTTAATGATTGTTTTTTCGATGAAACTTTTTATGTACTACCACCAATTACTGATTAATTGGTGGCTGATTAACGGCAAGAAAAAGTGCTCACCATCAGGGTTTTTTTGGTCCAGAACTTGCAGGGCAAAACTGTCCCCTGGAGCTTCTACATAAAGCTATGAAGCATTAGCTTTTATGTACACATATAGGTAATTTATTATAAGTATTTATGAAATCATTTGGCAAATGGTTAATTTCACCAAGCACTAACTAAAGCCTAAGTTCAAACAACATTGCAATTAATACATATGGAAAAATATTTCATTTGATAAAACAGATAAAAATTATTCCTACTTTGCAATCCTCACAACAATAAAAAAAACAGCAGCCCTGGATCCTGATGTTTCTAAAAATGAAGGCTCCCCAACTACAGACTCTGGATCTTTCCAAGGTGGAAGTTTATTTTAGCCTGGGAGAGCGAATCAATTTCCAACTAAGTGTCCCGTAAAGAAATCCGCATTCTACTCCTATAGAGTTGCCTAACGGGCCCCTTTCCCCTGCCTGCCCGCCTTTGCAGTCCACTCACCTGATACAACAGTGTCCCCGTTGAGGTACAGAGCCATGCCCAGGAGCATCATGACGCCCAGGGTGAGGATGTAAGGTCGCCGCCGGCCCCACCTGGCCCGGCAGTGGTCGCTGGCTGATCCCACCACGGGTTGCAGCAGAAACCCCAGGACGGGGCTGAGGAGCCACACCATGCTGTACAGACTCCGGGGCAGTCCCACGCTGAGCAGGACCGGGGTCACGTAGGCCGCCTCCACTGCGTAGCAAAACTCGCGGCCAAGCATGGCCATGCTGTGCATGATGAGATTGCCCGTGGGTCTTTTGCGTGGCTCCACGGGGTCAAAGGGCTCATCCTCAGCTAGGGACTTACAGGTGTGACTGTCCAGCTGCCCCAGGTTGCCGCCCATGGCCACAGGGTGAGGACCCGGCCTGCAAGCTAGCCACCCTCTGTGCAGCCCTCGGGTTTCGGCCCCAAGCTGGATTTGACTTGGAGCCTGACTGAGCAGCCCACAGAGATGGCCAAGCTGGGGGAGGGGCTCAATTTCTTTTATGCTTCTAAGATCACAAGTTATGATGAGGAGGAAGGGGGTGGGGTCAGAAAAGCTTGAGGGAGATTAGCCGCTGTGAGCCCTCTGGCTCCTTAGTATGTTTGTCTAAAGTAATCTTTCTCTGTTCTTTCTGTTCTCTCTCTGCCTCTGTTTCTGTCACACACACATATACACACACACTATTACACACAATCGCATACACAGCTTTGAGATAATAAAACTGTATTATGCAGGTCTTAAGTCCAAATATGAATACATTAATATTTTCTAAACTTTCTCTAGATATAAATATTCTGTATTTTCCTGAACATGTTTCTATACACACACACACCTCAGGAATCAGCTAACTAGACTTAACAGTCATGGGAGACTGAGCCCTTTCTCCAACCACTAGCCTGTCTCAGCACTGTGGTATTTCCCTTCATGGCATTTAACACATTTTATAACTAGATAGTTCTGTGTTTATTCTATTTCTTCTGTTAGTCTTTGGTCCCTTTAAGAGCAGTGATCAGGTCCATTTCCATCATTGTGGTGTCCCCAGATTTGGTATGATACCCGGCACCTACTAGGTCCTCAATAAATATTTGCTAAAGGAATTACTGAGTGAATAAAGTGCACACACTACATTTTGTAGTGCCAGTCAACCACCTGTTTGCTCAGGTCCATTCCCTGCTCCTCCTCATATGCTCTGTATCATGAGTGTGGGAGCCCGACAGTGACCACAAGAAAGCGTGGTTAGGGACGTGGGGATGTGCCTGCACACGGGGCTCCCTGCCTGGGCAAAGCATGCCTGCATACAGGATGCTCTGCCAGGAGGCCTGCACACAATATCCGAGTTTAATGGTCCGCTTGCAAACGAGGGAACATGCCCTCCTTAGAAGTAAGGAGAAGGCTGGAGTTGTGAGCAGGCCTCTTAGTAAACATGTTGTGGTCGCTTCCTCCCTTTGCTCCCCCCCGTCCTTGAAATGTGTTTGGCTACTGGCCCTTAATTGGTAAAGGAATGCAGCTTGTAGATTTCAGTTTGTATCCAGTTACAGCCGGGTATAAAATAAACCGCAAGAGGGGCTTGCGTAGAATTGTTCCTCCGGCCGGAGTTGTGTCTGTGTCTGTCTTTTGTGGTGTGTCTTGTCCTTTGTGTCATTTTGTCCGCAACAATGAGACTACATTTCTCAGGTTCCCTTGCTTCTAGGTAGATTTGGCCAATGAAAGGCATTGGGGGCAGGAGAGAAGATCATGGTATTTTCCTCCCTCTATTTCTCCTTCCTGAGCCATCTGTGATGGATAATGGCTGTATCTCTATGGTGGGTTTGGCTTCCACCAAGCAAACTTAGCTTTAGGATCCCAGTAACACTGCCTTACCCATTGTCCCTCACCCATAGGAGTGGTCTTGGCTTCCCATTGCTGCTTATATCTGGGTTGCCTCACTGTCCCCTGGGATTCTCAGCATCCTTATGACCAGTGTATTTCTCTATATTAAATTTCCTGATTGACTGGCTGATTGATAGGTTACCCATCCCCCGAGCCACCTCCTCTCTGGCAAGCACCAGTTTGTTCTCTGAATTTAAAAGTCTGGGTTTGTTGTTGTTTGTCTCCCTTTTACTTCGTTTCTTAAATTCCACATAGGAGTGAAATCATGGTATTTGTCTTTCTCTGACCTTTTCACTTAGGATTATACCCTATGGCTCCATCCATGTCGTCACAAATGGCAGGAGTTTATCTTTTATTTTTTTTTTAATGCTTATTTTTGAAAGAGAAAGAGATCGCGTGCAAGTGGGGGAGGGGCAGAGAGCAAGGGGGACACAGAATCTGAAGCAGGCTCCAGGTTCTGAGCTGTCAGCACAGAGCCTGACACAGGGGTTGAACTCATGAACCATGAGATCAAGACCTTAAGTCGGACGTTTAACCAACCGAGCTAACCAGGGTGCCCCAAAAGTTCATGTTTTCATTGATAATATCCCATTACACACACACACACACACACACACACACACACAAACATAGGTCTTCATCCATCTTGACTGGGTTGCTTCCACATCTTGGCTATTATAAATAATGCTGTAGTAAACATAGGGATGCATATGTCTTTTCAAATTAGTGTTTTTGTTTTCTTTGTGTAAATACCAAGTGGTGGAATTACTGGATCATAAGGTAATTCTATTTTTAGTTTGAGGAATTTCCATCCTGTTTTCTTCAGTGGCTGCACTGAATGCACAGTTTGCATTCCCACCAACAGTGCACAAGGGTTCCTTTTTCTCCACATCCTCTCCAACACTTGTTATTTCTTGTGTTTCTGATTTTAGCCATTCTGACAGCCATAAGGTGACTATCTCATTGTGGTTTTAATTTGTATTTCCCTGGTGATGAGTGATATTGAGGATCTTGTCCTGTGTCTGTTGGCCATCTGTCTTCTTTGGAAAAAGGTCTGTTCAGGTCCTCTGCCCACTTTTAATTGGATAACTTCTTTTTTAGGTGTTGAGTTGTATAAATTGTTTACATATTTTGGATAGTAACCTTTCATTGGATATATCATTTGCAAATATCTTCTCCTACTCAATTGGTTGTCCTGTGCACCAAGATGTCCCAGGGCACCGCAATGAACTCAAAGGGGTCCCTCGGGATATTTAAAGTTTGGAAGTTAGTAAACAGAGTGAAACTCAACATCTGTCAGATACCACATGAACTACCAGTGAGGTAGTTCACCCTTTCAACATAAGATTGCACTACAATCTATTCAATGATTACATATCTCTGTGAGGCTGGATTTCCCACAATCATGATAAAAAGCAAGTATTATATGAAAACAGATGTGGAACAGAAAATGAGGGTAGTGGTGCCCAATATGATTCCAAGGCATGAGAAGCCTCACAGTGTCCAACACATATATGACCCATAAGTAAGAGTGTTAAAAATGAAATTAAAAGAATGCTTTCTCTCAATTTATGTGTACTTTTTTTGAACAGCTAATTAGTTGTTAAGACATAAGTAATTAAGGTGTTGAGACCTAATTCTTTATAAATGGACTGGTTAGATATTTCTTTTGGCCTAGGGGTACCATGAAAAAGTTACTCAGACACAAAGGGAGATGTGAACTAAGAAGGCTTAAGACCATCTGAGCCCTGTATTCTCATCTGTACAAAGAAGTAACTTGCCTCGACTATCCCTGTGATTGTTTTTTTTTTTTATGTTTATTTATTTCTGAGAGTGAGAAAGAGCATGAGCAGGGGAGGAGCAGAGAGAGAAAGAGAAGGAGGGTGAAGGAGAGGGAGGGAGGAAGTAAGGGAGGGAGGGAGGAAGGGGGAGGGAGGGGGGGGAGAGAGAGAGAGAGAGAGAGAGAGAGAGAGAGAGAGAGAGAGAGAATCCAAAGCAGGCTCCAGGCCCTAAGCTGTCGGCAGAGAACAAAATGAGGGGCTAGAACCCACAAACCATGAGATCATGACCTGAGCCAAAGTCGGGCGCTTAACCGACTGAGCCACTCAGGCGCCCCCCACAGTGATTGTTGAAGAGAAATTGGGATACTGTACTTAAAGTACATTTGTGGCTGCCTACCCAACATCCATTGTCCACTCTTCCATTGTGCATCAGGATGGGACCTGGATTAGATTGATGAATCCACCCCTTCCTCACACGTCCATGTGCTTCCAGAAAGCTGAGTCCAGGGGAGCTCCAGAATAAGGCTGGTTTTCTCCAAGGATGACCCTACCTTCTCTGATAGACACTGGTGGAGGACTTAATTCCATCAAAGGAGACACAAGATAAGATTTGCTGAGTGTTCCTGAGACCATCTCTCCTTCTGGATGTCCCTGTGTGTGGGTATGAGGTCCAGAACTTGTTACCAGGCTGAGGATAAAGTGAGTATATAGAGGATGGCAATTTGGCAGAGCCACGAGAATGCAGGGAAATAGAGTCTGGGTGACTGGTTTCAAGTGACCCTAAAACTCAACATCCTTCTTTATTCGAGGTATGCGAGCGAAAATGTTTCATGTTTTGGACGTTGTTACTTGCAGTTGAAGGCATCCAAATGTGACATAGGTAAAAGTATTTTCAAATTATAAAGTGCAATGTAATTGTGACTGAAGCCTAAAATGTGCATAAAGAGGCCTGGATGCCTCTTGTTCCATGTCATTTGATTCATCACCATACAGTGTGTAGCATCCCATCGCTTCCTACATTGTAGGATCAAAAGAAAGTGTAAATCAGTGTATACTGAACTACACATGCAAGAATAAAATTCCTATGTATTCACGAGTATCATCTGCCTTCCACTCAAATCTGCCATCTTCAACTGTCTGCTTCTCCTCCATCCTCCTTACAGCCTCCTATGTTCTTCTCACCTACTGCTTTGCCTATTTCTAAGTCTACAGTTTGTCAAAAGATAACCAAAGAGGAAGTGTAGCATTTTCTGCACAGGGTCTTAGATTCTTCAGAAGAAAAGTATGGGTCATTAACAAAATCTATTAGCCTTATTTACATACATGTATTCTTTAAAAACTATACACTACAAAAACGAATTTTTCATTCAAGCATTTGGTATAAAGTCAATCAATCACAGAAATCAATATTTTGAGCTAGCCCATCTGCTTATTTACAGATTTTTCCCAACTGACTTTTGTTCTTTCCCTCATCAACCCTTCAATAGATATTTTTTGAACACCTATTATGAGAGTAGCAAAAGGAAAAAGACTCTGTTCTTATCTATTAGGACTGTGCCACTCAAGGTGTGGTCTTTGAACCAGAAGCATTAAGATCACTTGGAAACTTGGCAAAAATGTAAATTCATGGGTCTTGCCCTTGACACACTGCATTAGAATCTCTAGGGTCGGGCCTAGGAATCTGTATTTTAACAGTGTCTCCAGACGGTTCTCTTGTGTGCTAGAGCAACTACTCTACGAGCTTATGACCTAGTGAAGAGTTATGTAAACTACACTAAAAGCAATAACTATCCTTGGAGATATGTACAAAGTGCAATGGAAACAGAGGAAGGACCCCTTAGAACAAACAATTACTGAGCACCTAGTCACAGGCATTGTCTTGGACACCACAGTGAGTGAGTGGTATTTGAACCCAATTGATATCTGACTCAAATTCCATAATCATTGTATAAAATTGCCATAGGGCTGAGAAACACCAGAAGTATCACAAAGAAGGCTGTTTGAGCCAAGTCGAAATTTGCTAAATCAACAAGCTGGAGCAAAAGAGGCTGAGAGTACTGTTAGTCCCGGAAAATGCTACAGAATATGGAAAGGAATGGAAGCAAGAGAGACCATCACACAATTAGAAACTTAAGGCACTCCAATAGAAAGTGCTGGGGAATAAAGGTGGTACTGGACAGGTAGGTAGATGTCTTATTATAAAAAAGGGTTAATATGCTACATAAATGGGTTTATATTTGTTACATAGGAAAAAAAAAAAGGGAGACCATTGAATTTTACATGAAGAAAAGACCAGTTTGATGTGGTAAAGATTACTCATAGAGTAACAGGTTTAAGGAAAAAAAAAAAAGGCAGTGGTACTGGAGGTGAAAGTCAGGTAGACAAGTTGAGCAGTGGTCCAGGAAAGAGGTAATAGGGGTCTGAATAAAGGCAGCAATGGACGTTGGGAACGGGATGGGTATGGAGCTATGAAGGTGGACACTGACAGCACTTCACTATTGAGATTCACTTCTTTAATAAATATTTACAAAGTTTCCACTGTGGGCCACGCACTGATCCAGGAACTGAGGATTTCACAGTGAATAAAACCTACAAAGCCCTTCCTAAAGCTTCCATTCTAGTGTGCACTGGTTACGAAAGAGTTGGTTAAGAGGGCTGGGGTTAATCAATATGTCAGTCATAACACGTGAATAAAAATGAAAGGGGAGAGGGGAAAGCAAGTGATAAAGTGGCTGCCACTTTAGGGCGGGGTCAGGAAAGGGTACTCCCTAAGGTGACATTTGGGCAGTGCTCTGAATGAAGTGAGGGGTAAGCCATGGGCCTACTGGGGACAGAGGCAGATGTGATGGGAATGGAGGCCAGAGACCTGTAAGAAGAGGAAGAGTCTAGCAGGACTTTCTAACAGATGGCCATTTCCTAAGAGACATGGCGGGTGATGCTAAGAGGCAGCCACACAGAGCCAGGCTCTAGGATGTAGTCTAGATGCACAGTGGGGGTTCTCTGAAGGAAACATCAAGAGCCTTTTCTAAAATTCTAATTCCAAGACACTGGCTGAAAGATTTTCTTACCACATTAAAAGGATCAGACTTTTCTATCCAAGGAGTTCATTTTGGTAAACAGAGCCAAAGCTATTTCAATGAGTCACAAATTGCTTATTAAGTGCTATCTGAAGGACTTTTCTTAAAAGCTTTTCAGAAACTTAAAAGCAGAAGTAAACTTTAGGGGAGGGGGAAAGGCTTTATTTAATACAAAGCATTATATTCATTCATTTAAAATACATTATTAAACTTTTAATATTAAAAATATAATCTATCAAGTGGATTGAGAAGCAGAAAAACTGCCACAATTTAGGCAGTAAACTAAAAACATTCCTAAATCATGAGTCGTGATGTTAACCATTTTCGGAATTCAATCATTACTGTGTACCAAGTCCTGTTTCTTGATTAGAATAGCTGATCTACTCTGATACCGTTTCTTCATGTTTCCATACATACAATTTTATGTATTATTCTATACTGAACATGCAGTATTCAACTCACTTGAGCTGTGAGGCCTGGAATTTAGAGATTAGCTCTTACCTTATTAATTTCAATAATTTTATCTGAGGTAAGCTGATTGATCTCTACCTGACTGAACCCAAACTCTTGAAGTACCTCTTCAGTATGTTCTCCTACGAAAGGATCCCTTTGGGAAGAAGGGAGAGCCGGGGTGTCTGACAGCAGAGGCGCAGGGCGGGGACTCACACCCTGGTCCTTGTCACGGATAAATGAGCCCCGTTCTTTGTTATGATCATGCTGGGTAACCTCTTCAAAGGTCAGAACTGGAGTCACACACGCATCTGTGCCATCGAAGATCCGACACCACTCTTCTTTGGTCTTCTTTGCAAATACATCTGCAAATCTCTTCTTCATTTCTGGCCAATCACTCATGCTCATCTGATTAGGAAGCTCATCAGACTTTAGCCCAAGTCCTGAGATAAAAACACAATTTCTTAAATTACTATGCTTTGGGTAGAGTGATTATAGTCAATAAAATAAGTTTTGACCTCACCCCAGTGTTGCAAATAGGATTTTCTACAAGGGTTTCTCAAATGGGTCAAGAGAAGAAATTCAAACTCAACTTGAAGTTGGAGCCAACAGCTGGAAAGGGCAAAGGTAATCAATCGGGTAGCAGGACTTAAAACAGACTTCCCACTGCCCAGATTTTATTATTTACATTTCATCAAAAGTAGTCTATTTGTAAAGGTCTAGTTCCCAGAAATTGAGTTTTTCTCTGAGAAGGTTTTCAAAAAGAAAGTTCCTCAGGATATTACTATCTGTCGTACTGAATTCAAATAACCCCACATTTTATACGGTGTACCCAAACCCTACAAAGATAAAAGTTTGAAACAACTTTACACACAACTAGCCCAGTTGTTAGGGAAGAAATCTGAAGATAAATGATTAAATTCAAGACTGCAATTTTATGTGTACTATTCACCTCTGTTTATTCTAGACAAACAAAAGAGCTCTAGTCAAGCAATGATATTTGACCCATTACCCTCTTACAAAACTGCTGTGAACTAGGAATGAACGAGTTGTAAGGTCACCAAAGGCCCAACACAACAAACTGCTCCTACAACAAACAGGACAGAAAGTGATTCACAAGCCAAATCATGAGTGGGGTACACAGACTTCTGTGTCAGGCATGAAGGAGACCTCGAAAGGCCCATCGACACATGGTGGAGAGAAGATGAAAGTATCCAGCTGGGGAATTAACAGAAAGGATGGCTCATCAGGCCCCGGACCTGCTCTGTGCTTCCTTTATTAACTACAAGCACCTACCCCTGCAAATCCACCTGAACTCCAGAGCTGATTATATCACACCCAAAAGGCTACTTTACTAGAGTTTGGTGTAAATGTCATTTTCTATTCCCATGTGGAAGAGGGGTTTTACGTGTGGATCTTTGACTAGAATAATAACGAAAGGACCTTCTCATGCATGTCATTTTGCATAAGTTCAGTCAAGTTAACCTCATAATGCTCACTTGGATCATCCTTTCCTTCTCTACCATGTAGAAGAGCAATGACTAATTGTAAGCTGCTTTGAAGAAGAAAATCCCTACAGAAGAAGGGAGACATGAATACTGCAGGCCCTTCTTAGGGTTTTGGGATATGTAAGATAATAAGAAGAACTCATAGTTCTGGATAGTTGTGAAAAGATACCTGTGGGGTAAACGAGTAAATTTTCCTCTGTAGCCATTGGTCGCATTCAAATACAAAGAAAAACATGCAGCCATAACCTCAGGTTTATCACTATAATCCACCAAAAAAAAAAAAAAGAAAGAAAGAAAGAAAGGTTCCTAAGGATGCCTTTTACTTTGCTTCTTTTTCCTGATTACCCCAAACTCTGTGATTGAAAAACAAATAAAATAACCAGTTAGCCAAAAAATAGTGACGTAGATCATAGTTACTGTTAGAAATGTCTTTGCATGCTTTTGAAACCATTTTCTTAAGTCAGAATCAGAATACTAAATAAAATTGGATCCAATATGTTCTCTCTGTGACAGACATTACATTTGAGATTAATGGTCTCACAGATTATAGCTTGTATACTGGAAAAATACTAGAAATCAAAAGACCCCAGCTCCTACCCCTGACACTCCAGATTTTCCACTGTTTTATCATCCTTTCTCAGCCCACAGCTTCCCTTCCTGCCCATGACTCTGACCAAGGCCACAGGACTAACTACCAATTGTTTAGGATAGGCTGTTTCCTGTGCTCTTGACATTCCTGTATGGAACTCTAAAACCACTCCCCCACATAAATACAATTGTAGATTGCAGCTAGTTTTCATAGCATAATCAATTATTAAATTCCTGGTATTTTAAGTGAAACAGACTTTTAAGGACTGGCCTGCAGATTCAGACACTATTTAAAAGTTGGGGAAGTATGTTTTGATTTCCAAACAGCGATCTTATAAATACATGTAACACATACACATACATACAGTTACACAAAATACTTATTAAGTACATGCCATCAAGCTTACTTCTCTGTAACACAATATTAGGCACATATTAAACAAAAATTCATGTTGTAAATATGCAATGATCCCACAATGGGGTAACAACATTTGTCAAAAGGAAAGGGAGACGAAGAGGCACTGCATTATTTGACAAGAGTTGAAGCGACAGAATTTGAAGATATTACATCAGGTTACAGAGTAGATTTTTATTTTGATAAAAACCCTTATTTTGAAAATAAAGTTCTCTCCAAAGAATCCCATCTGAATGAGAGTGATGATCCATCTTCAAAATCCAGTAAAATCAAATGGAAATCTTGAAAGGATTTGATGACATGTCCAAGTCAAATGCAGAAGAAAGCCAGCAGAAAGAGACAGCATGAGGAGCCAGAGAGCTTTTTCAGCTGGTTTACTGACCATCCTGATGCAGGTGCAGATGAGTTAGGAGAGGTCATAAAGACAGTATTTGATCAAATCCATTAAAGTACTACTTGGTTCCCAATATAGATGATGAAGGAGGGAAAGGAGAAGGAGGGGGAGGGGAGGAGAAGGAGGATTGGAAGATATGGATGAAGGAAGAAATGAGGATGGAGGTGAAGACGATGACGACGAGGGGGAGGAAGGAAAGGAGGAGGGAAGAAAGGAGGAATGTCTGAAAATTTCCCAAATTTGTTGAAAACTTAAAATTGCACATCCAAGAATCTCAAGGAACTCAAGCAAGATCAATTCAGAGATCCACACTTAGAACAAAAATGAGCTCAGTGAGGTTGCAGGAATTAAGACCAATATACAAAAACAACTATATACTATATATTTCTATACACTAAGAATGAACAATACCAAAATATCATTTACAACTGCATCAAAAATAATAAAATTATTCAGTATAAATTTAGCAAAATAAGTGCAGGTTTTGTGAACTGAAAATTACAAAGTATCACTGAAAGAAATTATAGACTTAAATAAATGGAAAGCATCATATGTTCATGGATATTAAGGCTTAAGATTGGTAAGATGGCAATACTCCCCAGACTGATGTACAGACTCAGCACAGCTGAGTCAAAATCCCAGGTCATGATCTCATGGTTCATGGGTCCAAGTCCCACAGCGGGCTCTGTGCTAACAGCTCAGAGCCTGGAGCCTGCTTCAGATTCTGTGTCTTCCTCTCTCTCTACCCTTCCCTGACTCGCGCTCTGTCTCTCTCAAAAATAATAAGTGTTAAAAACAATACATATGGAAATGGAACCTGAATAGCCAAACAATCTTGAAAAAGAACGAAACTGGAAGGCTCACACTTCCTAATTTCAAACTTACTACAAAGCTACAATGACCAACACAGTGTGGTAACAGACATAAGGATAGACATGTACCTCAGTGGAATAGAACTGAGAGTCCAAAAATAAACCCTTACAATTATGGGCAACTGATTTTCAACAAGGATGCCAAAACCATTCAGTGGAGAAAGAATAGCCTTTTTGACAAACAGGGCTGGGAAAACTGGATAGCCATATGCAAAGCAATGAAGTTGGACCCTTACCTCACCCCATATACAAAAATTAATCATGATGTAACAGAGAGCTCAATGTGGATATTGGAACTATACAAATTTTAAAAGAAAACACTGGAGTGAGACCATAAAATTGGGAGTTCTCTGAGTAATTTCTATGCAATATTTACTAAAGGATAAGTAATTAAAATGTGCTAATAGAGCTTACATATGTTATTAGAACTCAATGGTAGCTGTAGCAATTGTTTAGAACTCAAACCAACAAATTTCTTTTCTTTTCTTTTGTTATTTATTTTTGAGAGAGAAAGAGACACAGCACAAGTGAGGGAGGGCCAGAGAGAGAGAGGAAGACACAGAATCTGAAGCTGGCTCTAGGCTCTGAGCTGTTAGCACAGAGCCTGCCAAGGCGTTCAAACTCACAAACCATGAGATCATGACTTGAGACGAAGTCAGATGCTCAGACAACTGAGCCATCCAGGCTCTCCTAACAAATTATTTTAAAATGAGTATATTTTATCATTGTCATTTAGAATTGCCTCTGAATGATGATAACAAAAAGCTGACAGATGGGCATCTGGGTGGCTCAATCCGTTGAGCGTCCGACTCTTGATTTTGGCTTAGGTCATGATCTAGGGACATGGATGGAGCCCTTTGTTGGGCTCCGTGCTGATCATGGAGCCTGCTTATGATTCTCTTTCCCTCTCTCCCTCTGCCCCACTCATGCTCTTAAAAAAAAAAAAAAAAGAAAAAAAAACTGACTGAAGTTTAGTCAATTTTATCATTACGTTTAAATTCTATCTAGACAATGCATAAATATACAAGGTTTATGTCAGGTACAAACTATACAAGCTATATCCCTGCTGCCTTCCAAGGCCCTGCACCACAGAGGTAAGAGTATTGACCCCACCATTCAGCCCCTCAAACAGCATTGTTCTGTCCTTATTTTTTAATTAATACCTTCCATTCTTAGTTTTAATTTTGGAACAGAAAAGCCTTTATGATCTATGTAAACCATTTTGTTGTATGTTTTACCAACTAAAGTTAAGGAAGTTAATATTGTTGATCATAAAATGCTTTCTGATGCTAGAAAAAAACAATGATTTCAGCTATATGCAAACAACTGTGAGTAGTATATTACATCTGAAAAGCTACCAAACATAACAATCAAACTCCAAACAAAGTTGAAAAGACAGATGCACCATGACCAGCTTGTCACACTACTTCACTGTATATTCTAAAACTTCTCAGATACTCAATTATCTGTAAAGTAAACTTTAAGTTCAAACATTTTACAAGAACAAAATAATGTTAGTCCGATTATTTAATTAGGGAAGAAAAGATCACAAATTCTCCTAACTTGTAGCCACATGCAAATAAGACAAGAATCTACAAGAAAGGTAAACTGTAAAAGCAGCAAGTGATAATAACATTATTCCAGCAAAATCTTATTCACCAAAGTCACTCTGTACCCTGGTATCCCACTGGGAGAACCAGCACCTCATTTCTCAGGATAAGATGTGGGCACACAAGGGCGACACTAATATCTGACACTACTGAGTATGAAATGTAATAAAAAATTGAACTCCCACAAAATGGATTAGTTTATAAAACTCTGAGCTATTTTATAGACTTGTGAAAGTACCTGTCAATTTAAACATAAAGGGAATGTCCCACAATATAATGATAGCTATAATAAGGTTAATCATAAAGTGGATATATAATAAAAGACATAATGAATTAAAAAGGCCCAAAAATACAGGTTAAGGAACACCCACAAGAAAAGGGAAGCGAGTCGGGGAGGCACATGAATTTACTTACCTTTGATCAGCAGCTTGTAGAACTTGGGTTCTATTGCACCAACAGCCATGAAACCCCCATCCGCCGTCCTGTAAGTTGTGTAGAAAGGTGCTCCACCATCTAGCATGTTCTGTCCTCGAGGCTGTTCCCACAGTCCTATTTGTAGAGATTTCCACAGAAAAGAACTGAGGTATGCTGTTCCTTCCACCTGTGGAACAGAAACAGAATACAGTATGAATCCATTATTTAAACTATAAAAACAGGATTCATTTCCGCTTAGATTTTTTTTTAACATTTGTGTAACAATGTTTCTTAGAGCACAGGAAGACTGTATATAATCACACAACTTCTTGATATTTCAAGAAAGTGGGTTAGAACAGGTTTATGATACAGGATTTCTCCACTATTCGGTTCAGAAAATACTGTTCAGAAAAGACTTAAAAGGAACTACTTTTGTTCTTCCTTTCAAATAAAACTGCCAAATGTTGATCATTTTTTAAGCCAAGTGAGGGTACATGGAAGTTCATTATACATTCTCTCTATAATTATATACATTAAAAACTGTCAGGATAAAAGTTAAAAATAAAGCAAAGAGGTTTGGAAAAATCAATCTTCTGATCTCAATACCTATAAACATATACACATAAATACTATGAAACTATCACATTTTAAAGGTAAACCACATTACAGTTAAATTTAGCTTATTCTAGTTTGACTCCAAGCTCAAGAAAGCTTATTTGAATATTTAAACTTTAATTAGAAAGTTACAAAATAAACATAATATAAGCGGCAGATACACAGGTTTTCTGAGTCCAGACAAACTAGTTTGGGAATGCCAACTTCCCACTGAGTTCTGAAATAAGAGGAATGGATTCACATCCTCAGATGTAGCTGTCACAAGGCTGGATGCATGTGACTGTCCAAAGAAGACTACTTCCCTATCCTTACGGCTTTTTGATCCTAACGATTTTTGAACCCCAGGGAGAAGGCCATCAAGGCAGCCTCAGGTCAAATAGTTGGAATTGGGAGGCCCATGGAAATTTTCATGGTTACTGGCTATATCTTTGGATACATCCCAACTTTCCCTTTTAACTTGCAATCTCATGCACACTCTCATGTCTCTGACATCTATACATACCAAATAGGATGTATAGATTTGTGTAAGTGGCCTAACAAGATGCTTTTTCTGAAAGAGGGTTACACAGATTTTAGAGTCCCCATATTTACTCGTATACATACACACACATACATATACAGAGACTGATATCCAACTACAATGATAGATACACATACACATATATATATACATACACACATACAATCTCTTTTATATACTAGATGTACTGATGTGTAAACTGAAAAAAGATGCACTAATAGAGCTATGGGTCTATCAGTTTGGCCCATTCAGGAAACAAAGAGACTCAAATTTAATCCTATCTTTACTTGGGATCATAGAAGAATAGAGGACAGAGACATAACAGTTACAATTCTCACCTTCTCATGAGGCTACTCAGATGTGTGGCTTCCCTTTTCCTTCACCCACATGTTGCTTAGCTGACAGGAATGAGAGATCTTTGATACAGAAAAACTGGAGCCTCGACTTCCCAACCCTTTACATTGTTCTCACCAACAATATGAACAGCTTATGTGCCAATGCACAGCCATCCCACCCCATGTCAAGTGCACTTCCCCAGATCAAGGGTAAACACAGCAAAAGAGATGCCAGGTTCCACAGTTTTCTGAACCTGACAGTTTCCAAGGAGACAGTACTACAAAGAGTCAACTCCAGAACATCACAGGGAGGCCTGATTCTGCTGCTAAAAACATTTGCAAACTACTGGCCTAAAAGAATAAGATATCCGCTCCCACTAATCAGCTTGTACAACTATTTGTATCACAGGGTTCCCAGAGATGAGAAAATAGTGAATACCATGCTTTACTGATCCATTAGGCCTTGAGTTATTAGCCAACACTCACACCACCCTAATGCAAACATGAACCCTGAATCAAGTTTGCATTTCCACATATACTAACACCCTACTATCATCATGTAATTCTGATTAGACACAGTCTGATGAAAGCAATTATCTTTTATTTATATTTGACTATATGTAATAAATTACACATCATTGATGACTTATTCAAATTATCAGTAAATAAGTATTTAATCTTAAATTCTCCTCAAAACTCCTAAGGTCTCAAGTTAGTTCTTAGCTCATTCCTTTTGGACCACTGTGACCATGCCCATAGAGGGTAGTGGTTGAAAGCATGTGTTCTGAGTTTTCACATTCATGAAAGTGTCAGTTGCCTAGGTGCAGCGCTTCTGATCCCTTCCAGCCACCTGCTTTAGAAGGCAGTTAACTTCCGCAAGTCTGGAAGTCTTCAAACGCCAAAAGAGAGTAAGCGTACCTCCTTCAGAGAGCTATGTGGATCAGACGGAAGACCTATCTAAAGCCCCTCACCTGTGCTGGGCATACAGTAAGTGTTAAGTTGGTGCTGCTGCTGGGACTGGGCCAGGAGCTGGACATAGAAAGACCAATCACAGGTGCGCCTGGGTGACTCAGTGGGTTAAGCGTCCAACTTTCACTCAGGTGCTGATCTCAGTCTGTGAGCCCTGAACTGGACTCTGCTGTCAGCACAGAGCCTGCTTTGGATCCTCTGTCTCCCTCTCTGCACCCCCACCCCACTCATACATGCGCATGCGCACAAAGTTTCTCTCTCAACAATAAATATTAAAAAAAAAAAAAAAAGATCAATCACACACTTCAAAGATGGACACAAAGGACAATGAGAATGTATCCTGATAAGAGAATCAGAAGGTGAAGAAATAGTACAGGGTTTAGCCTGTGAGGAGAAGGAAGTATAAGCCAAGGCCCCAAGATGAGGGGCTTGAAATAGCTTTTGCAACAGGTCACCAATGACGAATCCAATTTACAGTGTTCAGATCTAAACTGTTGAGGGGGCACTCAGGTGGCTCAGTCAGTTGAGCCTCCCACTCTTGGTTTCAGTTCAGGTCATGATCAGTTCGTGAGTTCAAGCCCCATGTCAGGCTCTGCACTGACAGATGGAGGCTGCTTGGGAGTGCCCCCTTTCTCTGCTTCTCCCCTGCTCGCTTTCTCTCTCTCTCAATAAATAAACTTTAAAAATATTAAAAAATAAAGTTTTGAGTTCTCTACTGATACCTGGCCCTCTGACCAGTCTTTTTTTGTTTGTTTGTTTTGTTCTGTTTTGTTTTAGCACTTTCTTTACCTTTCATTTTCATGGAAACACTCCACAGTCTCCACTTGGCTCTCCTTGTGCCCTTGCCTCTCCTCTTCTGCCCACTCTTCAAAGATGGTGTTCTGTCCCCCTCCCTAGAGGACCACACGGTCTCATGTGGCTTCCAAATGACAATAAAACTTGTTTGTAGTCTCAAATTTTGAGTGTTTATACCTGTCTGGATATGTGAAAAAAACTTCAAACTTGAAATGAGCCGAGCTGAATCCCTCTTATAATAACAATAAAGCTGAATCCCTCTTACAATAACAAAAACAACACCAAATTCTTAGAGAGCACCTCCTCTATGCCAGGCACTGTTAACATACTGAACAATGGATCAATTCATTTAGTTCTCTAGCAACGTTATGAGGTAGGTACCATTATTGTCTCCATTTCACAAAGAAGAAGCTGAGAAACAGGGAGGTCAGTAACTTACCCAAGATCACAGAACCAGTCAGTGGCAGAGCTGGGGTGAGGAAGTAGGTGGCAGAACCCATGCTCTTAATCACTAACCCATGCTTCCTCTTCCATTGGCTGTCCTTCCCAAGGTGCCAGTGAGGCCATCCACCAGGCCATCCAAGCCAGAAACAGGGGAGCCACCCTGGACTCCTCCCTCCCCCCCTTACTGCCAAGGCATCACCAATCCTGGCAATTTTACATCTCAAATGTCCCTTAAATTCGGACCCCTTCCACCATCCATTAGCTTAGCACTTGCTCTTATCTCTCAACAATGACCCAATAACTCTCCCTCTGCCTCCAATCTTGGCTTCCTCAAATCCATCTTCATTCTCCCTCCAAAGATCTGTCTAAATGCAAATGTGTAGAATGCTGGATTGGGCTCTTATCAAATGGCTGTGAGAACTTGGGCAAATTTCTATGCTGCAGTTTCCTCATGCTTAAAAAAGTATTCCAAGTGGAACTGGTGTTTTGACGATTAGGAGAAATGGTTCAGGGAGAGCGCCTAGTGTAACACAAGGCGCCTACTCAGTGCAGGACAGTGAAATACCTGAAGCTTCATGAAGCTACAAAATGTAACAGGGAGGTCTACACTGGCCCAATTTTACTTTAGCACCCTTAAGAATCTTCTCTGTCTGCTAAGGGAGACTTCCTTTCTGAGCCCAGTTTTTAATGAAGATTGCTTGAAAACTGTATTCTAAGCACAAGAAATGGCAGGGGAAAATTGTTAAAACCAACAAAGGAATCAGAACTTTCATGAAAAGTTTAGAAAACTGATTCCACAAACAAGATAATTAAAGGACATGAGGCTATTTAAAAAAATAAAAAGGGTATCTTCATAATTTGGATTCAAACTCCACATCTCATTTACCTCTTATCTTGTTCACAAAACAATCTGAGGCAGCTGCCTATCATACTTGGAACAAACTGGTAGGCTCACCACCTCCCCTGATTAACACTTACCATGCTGGCATCAATGACCTGACCTTTGCCAGAGCGTGTGCGTTGATACAGAGCCATCAAGATGCCCAGTGTGCATATGAGGCTACCACCACCAAAGTCACCCAGGAGGTTCAGCGGTGCATACGGATTCTCACCACTTCTGCCGATCTTTGACAGAACACCTACATCATGTAAAGAAATCAGGGATCACTAACTGTAAATTTAATGTCGCTTTAAATAAATACATAAACATCTTAAGAGGAATAACCAATCATTCTAGTTGCTGACATGGTGAAAACCAGTACCTGATGTTTTTCCAAATCTAAACCTGGTTAGCATGTTTATAAACAGGCTTTCCCCCCAACAAGGCTCCTTGTTTTGTTTTGTTTTGTCTCTAAAACTTTATTCCAACTAACACTTTCAGAATTTTACTGCTAAGTTTTTACTCACGGAGTTTTGAGAAAAAAAAATTATTGTTAGCAATTTAGTTTATGGCTTAATGACAGTATAATCCACCTCCAGTCTTATTAGAGATGTAAGAAAATAATCAAACACAAGAAAAAAGAAAAGTGATTCTATTTTAAAATAGATGGAAAAAACAATTCTACCCACACTCTTATCCTCAATCTTTAAATGTGTACTCACAGAAAATTTGAGACCTTTACTCAACAACACAGTTTCTTAGAATTCTGGGGACCAGGCCATTCTAATGTTCTCACAGGCAAAAATTCTAATAAAGTGACAACACGACCTGAAAACTACAGATACTCATAGAAGTCTAAAATGGTGACTCAGGCAATGATTCTCAACGGAGGTGGAAAGAAAGGGGAGTCCAGATCAAACTATTTCAGCATTTTCGAATCATAGAACCCCGTCCCTGTTACCCACCAAGGCTCTGACTTCTTGGCAGGGTCACACCTGAGAACTGTAGTAAGTAAATGTTACTGGTGAGAGTATATGATCCCTCAAATGTGTTAGGATGGGGAAGAGGGTTGAGAATAAGTGTACTATGACAAACCGACCCTTTTTAAACAGCCATGCTCTCCTTATTGATTCTGATAGATATTTAAATTTTTGCCTTTAAAAGTTCTTTTTAGGGTCACTGTAAATCTCGACTGGGAACAAAGTAAAAAGTGTAGAGAAATTATTTTGTCATCATACCTGACAAAGCCAAATAGTTGATGTCATGGCCTGCCACCCTGGAGAATCTTCCTGACTGGCCAAATCCACTCAACCTGGCATAGATGAGCTTTGGATTCTCCCTCTGCAGAATCTCCGGGCCGAGCTGGAGTTTTTCCATGACACCTTAAGAGAAAAGGAACAATGATTTTTTTTTTTTTTTAAGAGGGAGGAATTGAGGATAGGTACAATCCTGTCTAAAGTGGCACTCTTCGAAGTCATACTGATGATGTTTGTTGTGGGTTCAGCATGTTCCAATAATTAAGGACACAAAGAGTGAGGCCACCATTTCTGGAATGTGTGACTTCTGCCCCCAGAATCCTACTTCCTTCCAGCCCTACCTTAATTCCCTTCAGGCATATCTTAAGTTCCCGCAATCCCCATAGTGGATCATTCATTCCTTTAGTCAGTGCCTTAATAGTTCTCCAAATACTCTCCTCAGTAACTTATTAGAAATGGCTTGTTCTCCTGGAAGAGTTACCCTGGAGCTGAATTTGGCCAAAATTTTCACTTGTGAAAGCTTTTAGGGTCTTTTCATTTTCTGTGCCTACATCATCATCCACCACCTTCTATCTCACACTGTGCTTATGTGTGTATATATTCCCTCATCTTCCCCATCAGCTTAGAAGCTCCTCAGGCAGGATTCACACGTGATCCATTTCCATGGGTCTCTAAAGTGCTTAGCATGGCACCTTCACAAAAGGCTCAGCAAAATATCCTTGGAAAGATTTGCTACAATAGCATCTAAGAGCTCTTATGAGTACAGTATTTATTGCACAAAATCCAGATAACTAGTATTTTTAATCACCTGGGATTAAAAATAATAAAGGCTATATAATAATTTTACAGTCTTTACCTTCCTAAAGCTACAGTAAATTACGGAAAACTCCAGTCCCTTACCTAAACAGCAGCCACAATCCTCTCACCCGGCAGCTACATCTGTATTCACAGCTCCACTTTCCCTCTAATTGCAAGATCTTGGAGTCAACCATGCTGAGCCTCCATCTCTAAATGGGGCATTATTAAATTATGATATGATCCTAAGTATTAAATTATTATAATCTTTCAATCCGGCTGTGTGGATAAATGAGTTAACACATCAATATGCCTGGTGCCTCACAGACATTCAATTCATTCACCAAACGTTTACTGACTTTGTTATATATCAGGCAAAGCTTTGGATTTGTACTTGAGCCTGACTGGCCTGGTAGCTGAGAATGGATGCAGTTGTGCTGGACCCAAACATCATGTTTAAAAAGGCTGTTAGGACAATGTGAAGGAAGCTACAGCAGCAAAGGAGGAAGAATGTCTGGATTCCTGATAACTGAAACCAAATGAAGTTAAGACTATTTGAAGTCACTGGGCACCTGGGTGGCTCAGTCGGTTAAGCTTCTGACTTCAGCTCAGGCCATGATTTCTTGGCTGGTAGCTTGGAGCCCTGGTGTGGAGCCCTAGTCCGGCTCCGTGCTAACAGCTCAGAGCCTGGAGCCTGCTTCAGATTCTGTGTCTCCCTCTCTCTCTGCTTCTCCCCCACTCACACTCTTTCTCTCTAAAAAATAAATAAACATTTAAAAATTTTTAACAACAACAAAAGAATACTTGGAACCATGGATGGGGTACAGGATTCAGATTCAGGCAATTGGGCAGGTATTGGTTCCATTTACCGAGAAATAATATAGGAGGAGACGCTATTTTCGGAGGTAAGATAATGTGCTTGTTTTGGGATTTATAGTAGTTGCAGTGACTGGGGGATAGCAAGTGGGGAGATGTGCAGGGTCTGTGTATTTCAGCGGTCTAAGGCCCTAAAAGACGGGGGTACAGTTATAGATTTGGCCATCATCTGCCTATAAAAGGTGAAAACAGTGGGAATGGAAAAAGTGACTCCAGGAAGCAGAGTAAACTGAACTGAAGCTGGAGCTTGGGAACACCAGGGTTCACGGCAGAGAAGGCAGCCTGGGTCTGAGGAAGGCTTTTGAGGGTACACCAACCCCCAAAATGGTAGAAAAACGACTATGTACCTATATGCAATTTTCCAGGGAGCGAATCTTTGGCTTTCATTAGAGTCTTACAGGATTCGTGGCTCCCAAATAATTAAGAAACGTAAATATAAGTGATTAGAAACAATGAGGATCCTGGGAAGGGGCCGGAAATGCCTATGAGAACGTGGGCAACCCCAACCCCTGAGTTTCCAAGTATAGGTCATCTCAAGGGGTGAATGACCAACAACAGCAAACGAAACAGAAAAATCTAGAAAGGCAGGGACAGGAAAGGGTTCGTGTTGCAACAGGGCATACGTGTGGCCGGCGCAGCCTGTCATTCGGCCTGGCCCCTGTCTTTGGCGGGGACCTGCCTGGTCTGGTCCCCGATGGGGAACGCGGAGGCGCCAGGGGCTCACCGTGGCGGAAGGGCTCCAGCACCACGTCGACCTGGGAGCAGAGGCGCCGCAGCAAGGATGCCCCCTCCGGCCGCTTCAGGTCCACCGCCAGAGAGCGCTTGCCGCGGGCCAGTAAGCCCAAGTCCCCTCTGGCGCCGGGTCGGTCCACTCGCACCACCTGGGCCCCGAAGTCCGCCAGGACCATACCGCAGAAGGGGCCTGGCGCCAGGCCGGCCAGCTCCAACACCCGGACGCCCTGCAACGCCATTGGACCCGGCTCTCCAAGCGAGGGAGAAGTCTCACAACCCTGGCCCTCCGGGAAAGCCGGGCCTCCAAGCCGTCGCTCCGGCGCCTGCGCAGAGCCGGGGGCCTGCAGCAGCGCCGCGGGAGGGTCCGGGCCCCGCCTCCTGGCCTAGTCCAATCGGCGGCTTTCCTTTCCCTTGGCGGCTTTCTCTTTCAGGGGGTTGCCTGCCCCTTGACTCAGGCCGGCTTTCCTTGCCTTCCTCTCTGCATATCTTATGTTAAAAGATAAACTGAAGCTTGTTCAATATTTTACGATTTTTTTTTTTAAGCAAAATCTAATCAAGCAGCACCCAAAAGGAAGTGGTTAGGAGCATTCTACCCCCAGGAGCAGGGGAGAGGCTTGTATAGAGAAAAAACAAATAAATCCATTGATTAGCTCTAGATAGATGAAAGTCTACTTGGCTGTTTGTGATGGGTTGTTTTTAAGTTTCAGTTTCATAACTTTGTGGCATTTACACGGTTAGAATCTGGTTTGCTTCGTAGGTTGCCAGGACATCAGACCCACATCAGTCTAATAGCCTCCTTGTTTAATTGACACAGCATCTCCTTGTCCTTGTCCAGCCCGTGTCCGTACCTTTTTTAAGACATATGCTTCCTTACCCTCTTCTCTTGTTTTGTGTTTTTTAAAAACTTGAAAAGAAAGTAAATTGCAAAGAATGTTACAGAAGACATCCAGATTGACACGGTATTTTTTCATATTTGCTTACAGTCTAGTGTTCTAACGAACAGTACAGAAATAAAAGCTTAAGCTAACCGCCAGGATCAGATTCACTTGAATCAGAGATATTAATCAGCATCAAGTAATAAGCTCAAAGATACAGATCATGGAAAAGCTCAGCCAAATCAGAAGTCTGGAAAATCTTACATGACTCTTGCTTCCTACATTGGACACATATCCCCTGATAGAGGCTGAATTATCTCCCTTCAGAATTCATATATTAAAGTCCTAACCCCTCCCCCCACCCCTGTACCTCAGAATGTGACTGTATTTGGAGATAGAGCTTAGAAAGAGGTAATTAAGATAAAATGAAGTCATATGGATTGGTCCTAATTAATATGGCTGATGTCTTCACAATAAAAGATTAGGACATAGCAAGGACTGAGGGATGACCATGTGACTGTCTATCTGCAAGCCAAGGAGAAAGGCCTCAGAAGAAACCAAACTTGAAGATACCTTGATCTTGTACTTTTAGCCTCCAGAACTTGAGAAAATGTTTTTCTGTTGTTTAGGTTACCCAGCCGGTAGTGCCTTATTATGGCAGCCTGAGCAAACTAATAAAACTGTGAAGAAGAATGGGAGAGAGGATGGCACCTGGATGGCTCAGTCAGTTAAGCATCCGACTTCAGCTCAGGTCATGATCTCACAGTTCATGGGTTTGAGCCTCATGTCAGACTGTGTGCTGAGAACTCAGAGCCTGGAGCCTGCTTCAGAGTCTGTGTCTTCATGTCTCTCTGCCCCTCGCCAACTCACAATCTCTCTCTCCCCACCCCCCCAAAATAAATAAACATTAAAAAAAAGAAGATGGGGGTGGGGAGTTATGATATTTTGTTATAGCCCTAGCAAACTGGCATACCTTCTGACCCACGATTACAGCTGAGATCTCCAATGAGGTTTTCAGGTACCTAACAGACTTCATTTTACATCCCAGGGAGTTACTTAGCTATGGATCTGTGCTTCCTGGATTCTGGGTTTATTCGGCATAAGTAATCCTATAACCAGGGCTAGCCTGTTAAATGCATTAAATAGATAAATTCTCTTCCTTCTTGCAAATATCATTCATCTGTTTACCCAAGGTAAATAGATACAAGAGATACAACTTACAAAGAGAGTCACCTGCCTTTTTCTTCAGCTTTCTAAGGCATTCATATACTAAAGATCACAAGCCAGCTGCTTTTAACTCCTTCCATAGCTAAAGTCGCCTTTACCAACCCAACATTACTAATTGTTGGGGAAATGCAAATCAAAACTATAATGGGGTATCACCTTACAACTGTCAGAATTGCTAGAATTAAAAAGACAAGAAATAACAAGTGTTGGCAAGTATGTGGAGAAAAAAGAACCCTAGCAACAGTTGGTGGGAATGTATATTGGTGCAGCCACTGGAAAAAACAGTATGGAAGTTCCTCAAAAAGTTAAAAATAGGGGCATCAGAACTATATCAGTTTGTGAGTTCGAGCCCCGCGTCAGACTCTGTGTTGACAGCTCAGAGCCTGAAGCCTGCTTAGGCTTCTGTGTTTCCCTCTCTCTCTGCCCCTCCCCACTCGTGTTCTCTCTCTCACAGACACGAAAATAAACATTAGAAAGAAATTTTTTTTAAAGTTAAAAAATAGAATTATCATATGATCCAGTAATTCTATCACTGGGTATTTACCAAAAACAAAAACACTAATTTGAAAATATATATGCACTCCTATGTTTATTGAAGCATTATTTACGTTAGCCAAGATATGAAAGCAACCCAAGTTCCCATCAATAGGTGAACTGATAAAGAAGACATGGTATATATACCATGGAATATTGCTCAACCCTAAAAAAAAAAAAAAAAAAAAAGGATGAAATTTTGCTATCTGTGACAATATGGTTGGACCTAGAGATCCATACTAAGTGAAATATTTCAAACAGATAAATAATTCACTTATATGTAGAATTTTAAAAGCAAAACAAATGAGCAAACAGACAAACAAACAAACAAAAAAAAAACAGACAAATTCAGAGAACAAACTAGTGATTGCCAGAGGAGAGGTGGTGGGGCGTGGGGTAGAATGGGTGAAATAGGTAATGGTTTCTTTTTTTTTTTTAAGTTGGTTGCTTAGATGCTACCTACCTTTTTAGGGCCTCAGATTAATGAAGACTTGTAAAATCAGTCTTCCAGATATAACTCTGGTCATGGGTAAAGTCGTGAAACAATCAATCTTGACCTTCTCCCACATTGCTTATTAAATCACTTCTTTTTGCCCCTGGAACTTATTTGCAAGACCAAACAAAGTCCTTTCCTCCTGCCTGCAACCCAACTGGAAGTCTATACTAAGAAAAAAAACTAGAATATATATCAACATAGAAAGATCTCATGTATGTGATAAAGGTTCTGTCCCTATAGAGATATTCAGATTTCATTAAAGGGCCTCCAGACATTAATGTCATAAAGTTGCAGAGGGTTGAAGTCAGAAAAATGGGATAACAGAAAAGTGGAGTCTTTTGTAGGCAAATATGTTCTGCGCCCGTATCATTTATGTATGTTGTTTACATCACCTGCGTGCAAATATTTTAACTTTGTGTTAAACCATAGTGACTTAGAATCTGTATGACTATTCAACTTTATTAAGGACATCATAAAGCAGTACATTTAACAAAAGTATGTTTATTTCCATACAATGCTTTTACATTTTTCTTGCCTCAGTTGTATCTAAAGCTAAGCCAATATCTTCTTCACAGACACTTTATTAATGGCATATATTCTTTAGGCATGAAATCCTTTTGGGCAACATGCAACATCCAAATGTCTATTGGACATACAGTTTACAAAATATTTATGATGTTTGGAAATAGTAAACCTCAACACCCACAGCCCTAGGGATGGCAGGGGACATACACAAAATCATGAAGACATTATCAAGCAGTCAAGCACATTTTGGCTCATATCCAGTCACTTTAAAATAGCATTGTTTGTGTTGGTCAGAAAGAGTTTTTAAATATTTATAGATCAAAAGAAAGGGTCAAAGACAGAATGGAGCAAGGAGCCCGCTAAGTTAGCTAATAGGGCAGCCCTACTTAATTCTCTCTGCTTCCAGCTGGAGGGGGTAATCAATACAATTAAACCCACAATTTAAAAGTCTTTGTGGAAATTCAAATTGTTACAGAAAATTAATCAAGGGCCAATTGCTTCCAAGGGAATTCACTAAATGATATTTGTCAGATAGGCATCTCTCTAGTGTCTTTTAAATGTGATTCAACATCAGAGTAAACACATATTCCAATGATGCTTTCTTTGCTTAAAATAAACCAATTTGGAGTACTATCTTCTGAATTTATCCTTTTGGGAAGGGATAGGCAAAAGTCAAGGAGCACAGCTGCTTTATAAATGTCCCTTAAGTATGGTAATCAAAGAGGTCTTATGTTTTATTTTTAAAATGGTTAAGAGATTTTATTTTATGTCTTCTAAATGGAATGTCCTTATATTTTGCATCCTTTAGTTTGACTGTACATAACTGAGTTTATAGCTCCCTCAAAGGACATGTCAGTGAGTGTAAAATTTATTGGGGTAATTTCTAAATAGAGGGAGAAGGTCACTATATCTGTACATGTGGATCTAAGATCACCTCAGCAGGTTCTGCTGATTCTGCAGGCTAGAGTCAAGCAAGATCTATTGAAATCTGAGAAACTCAGTGGGAAAAAGTCAGTATAAGACGTTGGATCTGATAAGCCCAATTTTGGATCATGAGAAAATTCTATATCCAAAAATACAAGCCATTACAAGTAAAGATTTAATTACAGCAGTATCCTTATAAAAAAGGAGGAGTCTATTATTTATGGGCATTGTGAATACTTTTCCTATGTAAAAGCTATCTAGGATTACTAAAAACATCTATACTTTATTCATAAATATTGACCCACTGGATCAAAGTGTTACTTCCCAGTCTAGGCATTATAAATGTCTCTGATAACTTGGTCCTGACAAGTGCCCTTGTTCCTGCCTGGCCCCATCATAATCGCTGCACTCTATTCCTTGAAATATTATAAAAACGATGAGCCCAGGAATTCCTGAAAGTTGCTACTAAATTAAAAACAGAGCAGCCAAATTCTTTGCAAATGATTTCTTTGATGGGAACAGTTAATCTCAACCTGCATCAAAAAGGGAATTCTTTTTTAGGTGCCTAGGGAAGAGTAAATGTGCTGAGTATATTAGTCAAGATCACGTGGGAAGACAGTTTTGTGGATTCTTCTTCTGAACTCCTGAGTAGAACCCTCAACTCTAATGTCCCTCAGATCATAACAATACCAGCTCAGCCATAAGTCTTCCCAAAAGTAGAGCTGGTCT